CCACGCTCCGCCCACTCACTTCACCGGCGATGGTCTGACCTAATTGTTGTTAATTTTATTTAAATTTCTTTCTACCCGACAGCGAAAATTATAAAAAAAAATTGTCGAGCAAAATTTTACATTACCAACTTTTTACTGGTTATGAAAAAATAACCCCGTGATTGATAAAATGAAAAAAAAGTAGCCTGAGATTCGAACCGGTAAACTTACATATTACGGAAAACATACTAGAATACTGCGCCAAACTAGTATATATTGTGACAAGGCAAAATTTGATATTAGTTATTACTTATCTGTCATATTCGGCGTGACAAACTTTTATAATATATTTAAGCGTTATGACAGGAGAAGAAAAATATTGGTTGCCCAGTAAGTTCGTGCCGCTTTATAAGGAAAATTGAAACCCTGTTCTCTTAAATTTTTGGAAATGTTTTTAAATTATATTGGTACGACTCTATACCTAAAACGTCTTTTATTTTTGGCTAAAATTTTAAAAATTAGTTTTTATCTCAACCAATGAAATGAAATTATTCACAATATAGAAATTTTTGTGACGTTTGATAATGGTGGAAATCCGAAAATGAATCCCCTTCAGCTAAAGTCTATTGTAAGCTTTATATCGAAAATCAGAACGAACTTTCCGGACAACCTATAATGTTAATACAAAGTGTCAAATGAATGTAACAGAAGTAGTTTATTCCAAATTGTATCACAAGTATATAGAGATAGAGTTCAATTTTGTCAAATGTACCGATATTTTTGCGCACCATGACTGCTTCGTTACTTATGACGCTGTGGCTGCTACGATATTTATGAGCATCTTGCATGTACTCATATATTTGACGCTGTGTATGTACCGATGTATTTGAGCAGGGTGGATGTATCTATTATTTTGAGGACTTTTGTTGTACCGATATAATTGGATACTTTTGATGTACCTATATATTTGCATATCTTGTCTGTGACGATCTATATGACGCTGACTGTACGTTAAGGTATTGTTGAGACAAACAAAAAGGTATAGAGTCAAAGGTACATTTATTTACATTATCGATTTCATGTAATCTGTTACAGTGTTAAAAATATTTTTTAATTGTTCTAATAGAGTTTTTGTTTCTAGCCAGTCCTGTTTCTCAACCGCACGTATGACTGCCTGTCCGGTCAACCGAGCAGACGATAGTTGCTGGTCCGCTTGTTGTTTCTCATTGTCTACTGCCTCTTGTCTCGCCTTTAAGCTGTGTTGTAATAGAAGTTGTGTTAACTCCATTACTTTCATACAGGTATCCGGATTGTTTGGCCAATTACCGCTCTGAGAAGAAAAAAAATGTATGAAACATTAATCGAAACGTTTAGATTTTGTATTTTTAAAGTAAGCAACTCACTTGTGTGTAGCCCTTGTAAGCTTTTTGTAGTCGTTGAGCTTTAATCAAATAAGTTGTACTTAGATGTGAATACAACTGCCATATCTCTGGTTTGTTTTGATGTATAGAAGTGATTCTACCAAACAGTTCGAGGGCTCGTTTCCGCAATCTGAAACAAACAGCGACTTTTAACAGAGCATATCAATGACATAAATTCACTAGCGCTATCTACTTTCAATTAACAATTAGGCAACTGTTTTTGAAACTTTCAGCCACAATTAATTACCATTCAAGTTGACTAGAAAATAAATATTTAATTTAAACGTATATTCCTGATAAAAATTCCAATAGATCTACCTAGCAGCGCTATCCGCGTCTCCCTGCTCCTGTTGGTCAACAATGGCGCGCACGAGCAGAGTCAGCACTTCAAGGTCGTCGTATTTATCGCGCAGGTCCAGCAGACGATGTACACCGCGCACCACATCCTCCACGTGTCCCGTGTCCATACTCACAAGCACTATGTTCTCCCACACCTTCAAATATGTAATTATATCACATATAATAATTATATGGTGATATTGTAAAATTTGAGACAGGTGGCCATAAATCAAACTAAATTATGATAGCTCACTAGCGCCCCTCTGTCACCGTCAAAAATGTCATAAGATTCTCTTTGTACTGTAGCTATCATATCATTTTCTATGCACAAGTATGTTTTATTTATATACTGACAAAACCAACCAATAGCGCCTCAGCGGTTCAGCTGGCGTCGTTTGACTATATTGCTTTACGTTTGGATTGGATCGAAACATTGTATAAGTACCTTCCAGTTATCGTAGTTAAAGCGGAGAGATTCCATAAGAGCTCTGTACGCTCTCTGCTTGTCCCCTTGTTTGACATAAACCTTGGCCAGATTGTTCCAGGCCTCGAAAGTATTGGGATGTAGGTACGTGTAGCGACGATACGCTTTGGCTGAGAGTTCCCACTTCTCAGTCAACAGAGCGGCGTAACTAAAGTAATAAAATTGTCTTTGGTATTTATTTTCATTTGATATTGTCTTATTAAATTTTATTTATTTTTTAAAATAAGGATTATCAGTTTTAAAAACTATATTTTTTGAACCTAAAAAATACGCATTATGTCAATTCCGCCATCTATATTTTTGTCTATGGTTCAAAACGTACAAAGTCACTGCTTCATTTTGAATATATATTTTGTTCATGGGTGCAAAATGACCCTAAAAGTTTAAAATAACTCACCCTAATCTCGCCCAAACACTTTCCTGTATAGAGTTGATATCAACTGACTTTTCATAATGGGGGATACATTCTTCATATTTCTTATGACTAAAAAGATAATTGCCCCAATGTCTTTGCGCGCGACTGCTTTTATGATTAGAAAACTCCCACGCCTTTTCATAACAAGACACATCATCTGTAAAATAATTATTAAATTACTGTTGAGTACAAAGAACTATTATTAACTTTAAAGCTATAATAAATTTTATACATACCGGTGGCGTCGCCTAACAGACAGTAAAGTTTGACAGTTGGTTTTATATCAATTTGCTGTTGGATCACTTCCGCAGCCTGTAACAAAAAAATTAAGAAACATAATTTATAATCACTTGACACATTTTTACTGAGGGATTAAATCTATGGTCCACTTTTATTTTAAATAACTAAACAAAACTTGCAGTGTCAGTGGATACTGACTTTATGCCGCAGCTGCAGCATAGTGTAGCAAACCACGATGTCCTCCCAGAGCTGCAGCATCTGGAACTGCTCCAGCGCTGCCTTCACCAGCCCCGCGCTCAGGTACAGCTCGCCCAGCTGCTGGCGCCAAGTCCAAGAAGCAGCTATACCACTCGCCCACAAGTACGACATTCTGACAAACAGAAGCAATAAATACTAAAATACCCTTAAAACAATCCAATTAAAACCAGACAAACCAAGATACAAGATACTAAAATGGTCACTATATATCCGCAAAAAATATTAACTATCTACAGGTGAGCTAATAACCAAAGATTACACAAAATTATGTACTAGACATTAAAATTACTAACATACATCTGAATATCTACGCAAAATACAAATTGATTGTTATTTTCCAAAGATAATAAAAAAAAATATGAGTTTATCGTCACTGACAACAAACAATAACACATACCTAGTTGTAGCTGCTACATCTGTTTTATCATTGACAATAGTCTCACATTGCATCATGGCTCGCTCCACAGTGCGCTTGTGATTGGCTTCCAGTTTACAGCGTATCAGCAATGCAGCTACACGAGTGGACCACGGACCCTTATGCTGCGAGAGTACTGCTTCTATATACGGCTGCAGTTCCTCTGTCATTAAGTCATCTTTAGGTTGTGACTTTTGTATGTACTGGCTGGAAAGAAAAAAAATACATAAAACTTAAAAATAAAAAGTTGATAAAAAAGGTTATGTTAAACATTTTAGTAAGTTGAAAACACAATGTCTTTTTAATAAAATTTTACTCCCATACCCAAGAGTTGTTAACTTATATACTAAAATCACACCAAAGATTATAATGCTGTGTGTAAACGTAAGTTAAAAATAATCTAATTACAATTTGAAACCTTCAAGATTGCTTAGTTTAAAAAAAAAATGAAAATATTGTCTAATTTTGTACTAGTTTGTAATACTTACACGGTAAGTAAACACAACGTCTGCTCTAAGCTTGGTAATTCACTCTGATTGATCTTTTCTATAAACTGTATTTTATTCAATCTCAAATCATCCTGTAACTCAATATCAGGTGGAAGTTCAGAATCACCATGGCTCATCTCCGCTGAATCACGCTGTATAGTTGTATCTAATTCACTTGTTAATGCTAGTTGGGGCAATATGTTTTGCTGATATTTGGTACGTTTTCCCAAGACACCTGGAAACATAAAGCATAAAGTAAAATGTATGGACTTAAGTCTAAGGGCTAAAAGCTAAATTGTAGGGCTAAACACTATACTAGAGTCTTCAGGCTTCTTCAGTCATAAGCTGACCAATTCCGTGATTCAGCTCATATTGCTATGTTTTTCAAGCAAATATATTTTTCTTAAGTCTATAGTTTTGTATTAAAATGTTTGAAGATAAGGTTAAAGCTATTTTCTCACCTGTTAATTCTAATTTTAATCCCGCAAGCTCTTTAGCTTTCATTAAATATTCTTCAACTTTTTGTATTCTGCCATAAATTAGATATGCCTGTGCCATTTCTATGAATAACAAAACTTTCAACCTATTATTATCTATTTTTTGTGATTCATTATTTAACTTTGCTATTATAATCTCTAAATCATTGAACAGACTGGCACTGGTTTCTTCAAGGGCTCTTTGATGCATCACTTTACTGCGGAACATCCACCAAAGGTAAACCTATTAAATAATGTAAATAATGATGATTGATAATAGATAAACATATCACAACAAATTGTTTTTTAATATTCTTTAAGTTAATTTAAATTTGTATGTTATTATTTTGGTGATTGAACAATTTATTTATACCGGGATGAAGCAGTAGGAAAAGACTAGTCTTTTACATATGTAGAGTGGACCACTTACCATCAGGTGAACATTACTTTAAGTTCTATGGGTTTTAGGTCTTTCTTAATTCTAGTATAATGCAATTTGTTTCTTACTAGGTCTTGGTCTATTGAATAGAGAGTGTTGAATATTTGAGATGAAAAATACAGTAATTCTGGATGCAATATATTTGAACACAGAGGTTCCGAGTCACGCTGAAGTGTTGTATAAACATCAACATCTTTAGGCCACTCTGTTCCAAAATATTCCTCTAGTTTTATGTTCTCAGAAACAGTACTCCAGTTAATATTGCAGTATGTAAGAAATGCACTTATAGCTATATCTAATATTTTTTCAGTAAAATCATTGTCCTTGGAATGTTTTTGTAAAATCTCTAATAAGACATCATTTTTTAATCTACAGCATAACAATTGTTTGCACATTTCTTTATCTTCCATATGCCATTTTCCAGTCCACAACTTTTTTAATATTTCATTATCTGAAAATGTATGATAATGTTATTCGTTTCAGATTTCGTTGAAGTAAAGTAAGAGGATTTTTTTTAAAATTTCTAAAAGATTATAAACAAATAACCTTAAACATACCAAAATTAACATGACGCGTATCGAAATTACAAAGATACATCATGTTTAAATTCGTAGCCATTTTTGAAAATTATAAGGATGCTGTTTGTAAATTGTAATGTTTCGATAAATTGATATTTAAGTAGCGGCTTAAGAATAAAATGTAATCAAAAAGTACTGTACGGTGCCATATCCAACATGTGATTGTGACAGTGACGTTGGCAGCTCATATTGCTAAAATGGCAATTTAAGCGCGGTGTACATTTATCAATTTTTCAAAATAAAATTCTGTTTAATCAAATGCCTTTGATTAAACAGAATTATATTAATTTATTATAGGAAAAAGTAAAAAAGTGTTAAAAATAATTTGCAATGAATATGATGACTAGTATTATTTTGATAATAATAGTAGAGCTTCAAACAAATATAATCTATTGTCGTCTCACATAATCTGTGACTGTCTGTTAAATGATGGTGGGTGGGCGAAATTTTTTAGGTTAGTGATTAAAATTTAGGATTTTATAATTTAAATGACAAGCCCACAGCAAAAATGAAGTTTCATTATAAAATGGAATCAGTGCTCATAGCTATAACTGCCATATTTTGTACAATATTATTTTTGAAACTCCTCCACAACTTGCGGTAAGTACGCGTGACATCGGTATAGGTTACATACTTTCCCGCCTGATAAGATATGTTAATTCTCTTAAATTCTGTACACAGATCTGCGTTTCCCTGGCGAGTTAATTGTTGGTTTTGCAATATTAACACTTGGGTAAAATTCCCTACCCGCAATAGCTGGTTTTGTCCAAAATGCGAACAGTACAACGGTTTTACGAAGGTGATCATTTTGACTTTTTTTTTAGGCTAATAAAGATAAGCTTTGAAAATCCTCCACAGTTATAGTAATTACAGATAATTTACATTTGTTTTTATTTTTATAAGCTTATCCTACCACAACTAAATCTTTATAACCAAATATTATATTATTTTTTTCTATAACATGAAAAATTAATACATCAATAACGTTGTTTAATAATCATTAAAATATTAACAGGATGGTGACTACAATAGGGTGCTCAATTTACCTGTGGAGGAGGCATGCAAGACCCCTAATATGTATAAAAAGAGTCCTCCAAAGAATGGCCTGTGTAAAATGTGTAATATAAACCAGCAACTCAAGGTGACACAGTTGGCTAATTTTGTTCCTATGAATGAGAAGAATTTTGATGATGAAATAGAATCATACAAGTGAGTATCAAAATTGTTAATGTTAAGGAAAAAACAAATTTAAATCCATTAAAACATAATATTAACTTCCTCCACAATTTAATAACATCCTTAATCAATAACAATAATATACTTTGTCTTATTATTATTAATGAATAACTAGACCTGGGATGAAACTTACATTCCATACATGATTTTCATATGAAAGTGAACTGGCATAAACTCAAACTCAGTGTATCACTGGAAGTGTTAATAGAGAATCTTTATAACTAAGACAAAAAACAAAGTAAACGAGACCAAGTCTCAGTTTTTTAGACAAGTTTTTCTGGCACCATTTTTTGTCATCATTCCAAATAACAATGAATAATGATGATTTGTCCTCCTCTCTAACAAAATTTTGCTTGCCAGTGAATATTCGCATATTTTTAAGACTATATATTTTGTAAAATATTCGCAAATATCTATTTATATTTGATATTTTTATTTTATGATGGTAAATGAAGAAAACTAATGTATTATTATATTAATTGTAAACTATATGATTTATGGGGAATATGTAAGTCCTGATCATTGTATTGAATTTAACTAGTATATTGAAAATTTATCTACTTTTGTTAATTGTATCTTTCTTAGGACATTTGCTGTGGTTATCTCAACAATCATGTAATTATATTCTTATCACAAACCAAATATGTATACATTGATAAATTATGTAGGAATTGTAATAAATTAAACTATGAAAGGATCATTTGTACTAATCATCATCATCATCATCAGCTCACTATATGTCCCCACCAAGGGTCTCGGAGCCTACCCTAAGTTAAGGGTGATTAGGCCATAGTCAACCACCCTGAGTTGACCCCTGAGCCACCGACGCTCTTGTACTAATCTTAATTAATATAATTACAGGTTACAATTAGAAAAGGCATACAAGTTATGCAGTCCGTGTAAAAGAGTGTTACAATACAAGTTGAATAAGGAAAAAGAAACCTTTTTAGGTTCAAAGCTGTTGGAAACTAGGACACCAGAAAAGAAATTAGAGAAAAAGCAACAAAATAATAATCAAATTCTGAGTAATCTCATAAATGGTTCTTCCGAATTGTTAGCCGTAATATTATTTGTGCTGGTAGCAATTGATGTCATAGACAGTATAAAAAAACACAAAAGTTTACTGACAACAATGCACTATATTAAGAATATTATATTTACGCTATTTGAGAGAGTATTTAATATAATCAAAATGAAGGCATTTATGACATTCCCAATCTTAGAAAGTAGCTTATATGACATGGATGAAGTGGAAAGTGTTGACATTTTACAATATTTTAAGACAGAACAATTATATTATTTTAATGACTTGACTCAGAGAATTTTAAGTTGTTTTGTATGTTTTATACAAATTGTGGGTCTTATATTGAAAACGAGTAAAGCAAACTATAGTATAATGATTGATTTGCTTTGGTTACTTTTTACAATTACATCAATAAGTCACAAGTCTATTAAGTTGGATCCTGTTTACAAGAGTTGTTTCAATGTAAGTGTTTACATAAAATTAATAATTTTATTTACAAATATTTCTTTTTTCCAAATTATTTCATAAATATTTTTCCTTGTTACAGTTGCTGATCATTTCTGGATTGATATTGTTGTACAGAAAAATGAAATCAAATAATAATAAAACATCCATAAAGTTGAACACAACCCCACAAAAAGCAAAGAAACCTATGATGGGATCACTGAACTGTTTTGTTAATGATGATAGCATGTCTCTCGATACAGATGATGATGTATCACTCAGTAAATTTGGATTAAACAACTTGGCAGATTCCTCAAATGAATCCATTACTTTAAACAACAGTGTAAATAATGGCAGATCATTCAGTCCAAGGACTGAAAGTGTTTGGGGCAAGACAAAACTTAACTCGACATTTTGCGTCAACACCGTATTAAATAAGGGTATAAGTTCCGTTGCCGATAATGTGTTCATAAAGCCATCTTTCAATAAATACCATAATCCGGTTAAAAGTGATTCAGATGTTGAATTAGATGAGAGCATCAGTTCTCTATCTATTGGCCCCAAAAATGGTAATACGAAAAGTAATCCAGTGTTCGGTCTGCGCAAGTTAAATGCAACTCCGTTCGTGGCTCCGACGCCGATCGTTCGGTCTCGCCCTCTCATATCTCCGAGTAAGTTAGGCTACAGCACGTCCTGGGTCGCCGGCGGGTACTGGGGCAACGAGGGACAGATATTTAATATAAACGGCAGTCGGTCTTCCAGTCAAAGTTCTGGGTTCGAATCTCAGACGTCGAGTATGAACCAGCGCAATGTGTTTTCGCAGCCTCCCTCGCGGGAGGACTCAATTTGCGGGGAACTAGACAGACATCCCCTCCCGCTAGATCGTTTGCAGAACTGTAACACGAATTACTTCCAAAACTCTTCCAGTTTCACTCCGATAGGTGGGCCGGTCTTCCCACAAATGCAGTATAATAGTCATGTACAAATACCTCAGCCGAGAATGTCCCAGCAGAGGTTGATGTCGCAGAACGTGTTCGGCCGGCGGGCGGGCTGCCCCACCAACGATATGTTCAAAGTGCCCTCCGGCTCGGGGCTCATCCGATTACCTCAAGAGAACTCGTTCGCGTCGCGCTAATGTCGACAATAGTCGCCATCTTATATTTCGATTAAGTTGTTTTGTTTTATCACTACGATCGACTTTAACTTAACTTCATAAACTGCCATTAATTTAAGAATCTTATTAAGTTATATCACGTGCATTAGTGTGTAAGCGGTTACTAGTTGTATGTTTGAAGGTAAACTTAGCGGTAAGGTCATGCTGATCTCGTGTTTGTGGAGCCGGCGGCGGAATGTGAAAGCATTAAGAATTATTGTATTGTTACAATTTTTATATGGACGTCACTGTCCTCTTCTTGAACAAAATGTGATATGTAAAGACTAATAATTTTTTTTTCAGAAATGTGAAAATGATTCTTGATGTTATCATTATTTCTTTTTCTCTATTGGTTTTGTCATCTTGTAACGAAACGTTTTTGTGAAGCTCCTGCAATAAAATTGTGTAAAAAGAATTTGCATCATGTTTTATTAAACCTTAAAATAATATTTAGTCCCCAAAAGCAAAATGTACAACTATATTATTTCTTTACAAATCTAGCATTACATCTCAATTGAATCTTTAGTTTTCGGATAGAAATCGATCTAGCAAACTTCCAAAACTAACTTGAACAAGCCAATAACTATCGGCAAACTTCAAGATATTACTTACGAATTTCGAGCTTTTCGTTCAGGACCTTGAAGATATTGTGAAGGAAGTGGCGGCATGTACGTGTCTTCATATAGGGTCGAGAAATAATCTGATATACCGGAGCATGCCCACTCCTGTTCCATGTATTTTTTAAGTCCCCATTCTGTGATATTACCCTATAAAATGTATTAAAAAGGAGTTTACACTGTCTTCAGTGGTAAATCAACAAATCTGAATTCTGGACAAATGATTTAACAGTCCCGTATTATGTTATCTCTACTGATTCCTTACGAAATTGATCCTAGTTTCGGTTTCGAATATGAAGTCAACTGCGTGTGATGTACAGAAAGTCAATCACTATATTAAGATTTTTCGTCTACTTATGAACTACGTACAAAGCATTTCAATAAATCCGGCTGGGGATAATATTGGTGCGCGCTTCTTCTGTAATACCGCTGATTGGGACCGCAGAGAGGCTTGGGAAGATGGTTGTAGACCAGATCGTTTATTGTCACGTAGTTGCCACATTTGTCGTGGCTGCTGTGACGTACTACTGTTGATACATTACCCTGAAAATATTCTATGTCAATGGAGTTCGTAATTACAAAAATTACGTTAAATCACGTAATGTTCTTCCTAAAACGCCGAAACGCATTTGCAGTTATTCTGCATTTGCGGACGTCTCTTGTTTACGGAGCACTAAACATTAGACGACGTCTGCTCGTTGGGTCATATTACAAAAACATACCTGTACGCTATTAAGTCTGTTAAGGCGGAAGTCGTCATTTCTTGTTTCTGGTTTTAATTTATCGTAATCGATGTCATCTTTAGGCGGGAAATACAGCGTCCCACTCTTGGGACATTCAGTTCTGTCTTCAACCCAATTGCCTAAATCGAAACAGTTTTACAGTTACATTTGAATTACAAATTACGTTCGTTGAATATTTTGGTCATCTTAAATTTACTGACAAATTATTCCTTAAATGGTAGAATGATCATGTCTATTTTGGCTATCATGTGCTTATAGACTTGGAATACATTTGCGAACATCATGAGACGACCCATCTATTATTATGCACCTGAATTATCTTAACATACCTAGACAAACAGAAGTTCTACAAAAGGCGGAGGACCTTGTAAGTCTTTTCTTATGTAGTTACATTTTACCTACTAATACTCCCGGTCCGTAGTCACGAACCGGCTTCAGAGCTTTAGCTATAGCTTCTGCGCGAGTTGGTGATTTGGCTCTTGTACTTATTGTAGCCATTTCGTGGGCTTGTTTTTAAAATTTATACAAAGTAAAGATTTCCATAAATGTGTCAAACTAAAATGTCATTAAATAGAATGTCAAACTAAAGTCAAAAAACGACAGAAAATTATTTTAAAACTTTCTGTATAAGCCTCAGTCAACCTCGTACATGGAGACAGGTTTTCAACTTAATAATGCCTTGATTTGATACATGTAGTTTTTTTGTCTAAAGGTGAATTATAATATTTTACTTGGTTTAATATGTTTTTCCCTAAACAGAACAAAAGTAATAATAATCGAATGTCAAATGCATAAAATATTGTATATTTTTGGTAAAAAAAACTAATTATATTTGTTTATAATGATTTAATTATATTAACTTATATATAATTGAGATATGGTATCTTAAAATGTCTATCCAATATCCTATATATTTATATTACACACATTATGATAGTATTTACAAAATATTATAAATATGCACTTAATCGGTCTCCATAGAAATACTCAAGTTAGGTTTAGGTAAAGATTGCAGTAATGTGGCCAACTGAGCCTCCATTGGACCTGCTTTTTTCATAAGATTTTTCAGATTTTTTTCAACTTCAAGAATATCTTGATTAATTAACTCCATTTTCTGAAAACAATAAAAAAACTTGAAAATAAATGTATTGCATAGGTTACATAGGTACATTTTAACACCCTCAGCGCCTGATCCTAAGTGACCATATAAAAAAAACACAATATTCTTTTTTGTTGGGATGTGCTTAAATACAAAAATGTGTATACTTTTGACTACACAGCGTTCTAGACACTGTGTGACAAAAAGATACACATGGCAACCAAGGTGTTAATAAAGCAACTGAGTTTTAAATACATCTTAGTTTTTACTGTTGCAGTGAAGTGTCAAGAAAGTTTTTCAAGTCCATTTAGTAACATTCTTATATTGTAAAAAGGGCAGATTTTCATTTTTGTATGTTACAAATAAACTGAAAATCTACAGGACCACTTTCAAAAATTCATTTGTCATAAGAAAGTTACATTATCATTGAATAACAATGGCTATATTTATTATTAGGTTATTTTATTTTAAATTCCGCGCAGGCTCAGTCGTAGGCAAAGGCTGATAATTTATATAATGGCTGATATCCAGGCCTATACCCAGAAATGAACTGATACATGCTGATGAAATAAAGTCGTTTTTGATATTGACAAAGTAAACAATAAATATACCTGTATTATAGAAGTATACAAAGGTTTAAATTCCTTTTCGTTATAGCGCATAAAACCGCTTAGATTTGATTCAGTATCTGATGGTGGCGAAGTCATTTTGTTGTTTTTGTGATTTGTAGATTATGTTATTAATAAAAACAAGAATTTTAGATTACAAACGATGACACGAACAAATTCCGATCAAGACATTTACATAATATACAAGACTATAACGAACTGAACAAAATCCGTTTTAAAAACAATTACAATAAAAATAAATAACGGATATTGTTTTTTAAACTTTGACAGTTTGAGTCTTCCTACTTCCGACATCATGTAATGACGTTAACATTGTGAATCTAATTAAATTAACTAGTTTATTAACTGAGTACAAAAATAAATACGTTTTCTGTATAATTCATGTTATGATCGCTTGACGATGATAAGCACGTTTATTGTATACACATTTTTAGTTTTATATTTGCACAAGCAAGGTTTTAGAACGTAACTTCAAAAAAGACTGGTGCTGTCAAAAAATGTCAATATTTCGACAGCTTGTTTTGCGCAGCGTACTGCAGTATGAAACCTTTCTAACCACCAATAGAGTTGTAGCTCCGATCCTGTACTGTAATATGATTGGTTGAAAAAAGAAGTGTTCCATTATCTCGACGTCATCGAAAACGGAAACTAAATTTTATAGTCGCAAATAGAATTTCTCTTATAATATCGAACGGTACAAATTAAATTAAATCTAAATAATATAACAAGTGAAATCTGTGAATTATTATAAGATTTAAACAGTAATGTTTGAAAGAAGTGTGTGTTTTGTAGATTTAGCCATTTGCTCACACATTGTTTTTCAGTAATTTATTGATTGTAACAAAAATGTAGCTTTAATATTGTTATAGCTGTGTTGTAATGAAATAAATTAATATTTTTTGTTTATTTTATTTTTTATTAATAGAGTAATATTTTTTTATGTTGTATTCTTTTGCTAATGATTGATCCCTACTATTCCTGAACCTTCCATTTAACCTGATAATTCATTGTCTAACATAGTGCATATATTTATTTTTTTAATCAACTCCATTAAAAAACATATGCATAAAATCACCCTCCTGATCCTTATTAGAATTAAACCTTTTCATTCCTTACAATGATTTCCTTCAATAAATAATATAGGGCGCTGAACAATCATAATTATGTCCTAGCCTTAGATAGCTGCTTAAATCATAGCGATACGGGAATAATCCGAATTTTACTTATTTTTCTTTCTACAACAATTGTTAAATAAAGTTAAATATTTTATTTTATTACATAAATTAATAGTAAACAGTTGTTCGCTCATAGAAAAGCTGATCAAATGATTAATTATTTTTTCTTTCTAAATCTCTAATCATTTAAATATTTTCTAATAATTGAAGCAAAAAATATTGGTTTAACTTTAGACCAATTAAAAAAGAATTTGTATCTACAATCAAAATATGACCCGCTTACTCTAATATTTAAAAAAAATATTTTATATATATACAACAGTTAATAGATGGAATATGTAACTTTCCAAACATTTTTTCTGAAGTATCAAAGAATAGCTTATGGGTAGGGGATTAGTGAATAGGCGAAATAAGTGTAGGAGGTCGTTGGCGCGGCGCCGGCCGGGCTGGCGTCGCGACGTCGCGTCCCCCCCTCTCGCACCCCGCCACTCTTCACTTGTGCATCCAGTCGCCCTCCCTTACCCTACACCAAACAACCCTCGGGCAATCATTCCTCTCAACTTCCATGACATTGCAGACGATTTTCATTTACGTGCTTATACCCGTTTTATTAAACATGAAGTGATATAATATATGAAAATTCAGTGTAAAGTTTCGTGTTATACAAAGTGATTTTTTAATATAATGTCAGTGTTAAGAATAATGTTTTAATAGACTTTCGAGGGAGTCATGTCAGAGGAACATGACAAGGACTGTACTAATAGTGATGAGCAATCAAATGAGAAACAGTGCAATACGAGCGAAAACGTTGAAAAGTTGACAGAAGTTATTGATTCGACTGAAGAACCAAAAAGTGCCAATATTAGCGAAGACCAAACCAGTGCCATAGAAACTAGTCAAAGTGATTTAAATGAAAATGAAGATTTGTGTCATAAAGATGTTGAGGCTGCAAAAGCAATCAGTTGGACTGTCGAAGGCTCGGAGTTCAAGATATCGTGGACGCTGCCTGAAGGATCCACTACGGGAGAAGACTACATTGGGCTCTGTTATAAAGGTCAGTAACTTTATTTGTGCATACATATTATTTAAATGTTTGATTAATCTTATAAAGTTTAATCATTACTTTTATTTGCTGTATCCAGAAGTTTGATTTAATTTTTTTTTAATCAAAGACAAGTGCGTATAATGTAAAAATATTAAAAAAATATTGCAATACTCCATATTATGCAGTAATATCATTAACAAGAACAAAGCAACTGTCTGGTTCGTCCTTTCCGTATCTGAAGAAAACATTGTTCGATGTAACCGGAGAAAGGACATAGGTAACTTAAACAACAACAGCTAATAACCAGCGCGTTGAAACATTTCCACATTTTCGTTTGAAATAAAGTAGTCAACAACAAATTAAGTTTATTTAATTTTTCTTTTCGTCTTATTCTATTAATGATACAAAACAGTTAATAAAGATTTGTGCATTTGATTAAAGATGTAGTGTCAAAACTCGGACATAATATTGGTTTTGAAATTTGGTAATTGTACGACACTCAGTGAAATAATATCTAAAAATCGGAAGACTCTTTGAAACCGACGAAGCCGTTTAGGTTACAATCACAATGGAAAAACATACATACATAAATATTATACAAAAGTCAAAAACATTATCTTAATATCAGTCCGGCGATTTGAAACACAACTTGATGTGGATTTTTCCGTCAAACCTTGTCTATAACTAAGTTATCTAATGAATAATTTATTATTGGAAGGCTGACAATATAACAGTTTCTTTTCTTTATATAAATGATATCAATGTCGATATAAGCTGCAATGCAGTCGCGGACTAGTTTTTGTGTCTTCCGTGACGTTTCCTCGCCTGGAGTATAACAGCACCCGACACCGCTCGTTGCATTACTTGGCCACAGGAAACGTGTCAATGCCCACCCCGGTCGGTTACAAGTTACTTTATCAGCCCGAATGTCGTAACACTCCAATCAATTGCATCGCTTCGCAACTTTTTAAATTGCTCACGTTAGGGACAGACGGACGTTTGGTAACAGAACGTGTTTGAACAGGCTCAGAATTACTGGACAGATTAGAAAAATTCTTTCTTTTGGGAAGCTAGGGTGACGTAGGCTATATTTATTATACTAAATCTTTCTTTAATTCCGCGCGGAAGAAGTCGTGGACAATTGCTAGGTGACCATATCATTTATATAAAAGTCATAAAATAAAAAAGAAAACAATTCCAGTAATTTCTGTACCTATTACTGTTTATGAAATCCCAGTGAAAACACTTATTTTTTGTTTATTCTGGTATAATTAATTAGTCCGTTATACAATGGACCACTTGTTAAGAACCCCTGAATCCTCTCATTACAATCAAGTATTGGCGAATTTAAATATGGAAGCAGAGTGCAATCATGTCCCGCCCACGCCGACGTGCGCCCGCGCAGGCCGGGCACACCGCGCACCGCAAATCGATTAGCTCTTTATTGCTTAACACGCGTCTTCATTAGTAATAAATTTTAACAATCTTGTTAACTTAACAATAAAGATTTCCATGTGTATAACATTCAAAAACGAAGGACTACCTTGCGAGTCTACTAAGATCAAGTTATGTATGATCGAAATAATCGTAAGATTAAAAAGCCAGTAAAAAAGTAATAACCTTTCGAGAGGATTTTGTTTTTTTTTAATTAGCAGAGGTGACAAAAGTTAAAATAAAATTGATCTATTTAATCTGTGTTACCGAAATCCATTTGATTATGCGATGTATTATTCAAAAAGAAAAAGCGCCGCCTGCACTGGATTTATTGTGACTTGAATATTCCGGTTATCTACTCCGAATTATTGCAGAATGTTATTCCTGTCAAAAGAATGTCTGTCACAAGACATATGTTTTCGGACGTACGCGACCTTATAGTTGAATTCTTTCATCGTCAGTCAATGAATATGAATGAGCAATTACGAAGCTCAGTACTATGTGACTGCGAAATTTGAGGTGAGGCATCGTAGGGCGCGTGCTGTGCTAACGTAGTTATATAAGCACGTGCAATTGCAAACAGTTGTGTAAGAAGCCCTTTTTGTATGAATGACTTCGATTGCGAAGAGATTCTTAGTCTAGAGGTATTATATTTCAATCGTACGTTGCGAATCGATCAATAGAATCTGTAAGATAGGAGTAACATTAGTCTAATAGTGATATGTCTTCGTATGTCATGCTTAACTGTATAACCGTGGGGTTCTGAGACCAAAATATCCTTTTAAAACATATCGTTACCTTTGTTTTGTCAAAAATAATGACAGTAATTACGATATGTTTTATAAAGAGATTTTAGTCTCAGAAAAAAGCGGTAATTAAAACAAGCGTAAATAAGCTCCTTGATAACTATTATGTCTGTATCGCGGCTACTTATTTATTGATTTAACTGCACAATTGAATAAAAAGTTAGATTTGTTTGCGATGTATGCTTTTTTAAGAATCCGTACCTCATAGGAAAAAAACGGAACCCTTATAGGATCACTTTTTTTACCCAATCTTTTATGAAAACATTTAATAAACAAAATTGTAATTCTTCTAGATTCAATGTTTACTATTTTGTGTCAATTCCATAATATTGTTGGTTTGGTAACGTCCGTCTGTGTGGAAGCGTCGCTCGAATTTCACCCGACTTTCGCCGGTCGCAATCATGTCAGCCAAGTCGGTCGGGCGGCTCGTGCGGCATGTACTGAGACCGGTTCAAAATGTCATTGTTGTCATGCCCGCAGCTTCATATAACGTAATGAGGATAATAAGACCAAGTAAATAACTTAAGCTAAAAGATGAGAGTAGAGTAACGGGTTTGGCTTCTTCCGCATACAATTAAAAACACTTTCGAATTGCTACTCTGCATAACTAAATCTTACTTCTTACTAATATTATAAATGCGGATGGTTTATATGGATGGATGGATGGATGTTTGTTTAATGGTATCTTTAGAAGGGCTGAAGGGATCTCGATCAAATTTGGCATACATATAGAACATAGTCTGGAAGAACACATAGACTACTATTTTTTATTAATTACGCGCGGACGGA